GATTATGATGTAAAAAATGAATAAATAAATAAATAAATAAATAAATAAATAAATAAATAGCACAAAGATTCCAACCTGATGACAAAAAAATCAGATCTGAAATAGTTTTACTAGAACTTTTTGTTTCATGTTTTATGGTACTTCAACGCAAATCTTGCAGGAATAAACTGAAAAACCTGCATTTGGTATTTGGTGTTATATCTAAGTTTAAAAATATGATTTTCCCATTTTTAGCCAGAGTTTTTAGGAGCAGCAGTGTGGAAGGTCCAATGAGGCTCCGGAGCCACAGGTTCCAAACCTCTGCTGTAGGGGAAAGAGTTTTAAAACTAATTTTCTCTTTCCTTTCATTTATTAACTGCGTTGCTCCGTCATAATCCCAGAGAAACGCATTGAAGTTTGTGACCATAACTACACAACGCAAAAAAATTCAAGACGTATGAATACTTTTGTAAGCTGCCAGGTAGGTGTGGCTACATACAGGTAGCCACACCTACCTGTATGTCGCTGCACCAAGAAAGAACCTGCAAGAATTTCCATGTGGATGTTAATGCGATGGATAAATCAGCCATTATACCAAATAGTGTTTAGCAGAGTTCATAAAAACAATCTGCATGATGTCTTAACAACAAGTAATATCAGCACAGCAAGTCAAATTACATCCTAATTAACTTAATCATTTGTGAGCTTGTTCAGGTGGAGTTGTAAAACATATGGTTGCTAAGTTGCAGCAATCATTGTTTAATGATTGTTTGGATATAACAGTGCTTTATGGCATCTAATCAGGAGAAATGATACACAGTCATATTATGAGATGTCTCTGGCTCTCCTTCCTTTATTTGTTTGTCTGAACTGTATGACTGGTACTGGAACTGAGCAGTAGGTTTAGGGAATAGTCACTCCTCTGATGAGTTTGTTTTATTTTTTGTTACCATGTGGTTTTATCTCTAAACTAGAAAAATCATAGAAAACATAAAATGAATATCAGTGTCTGTTTTATTTTTTCATTTTCTTAAAAATAATGCATGTCTCAAAATATCAACGTCTTTGTTGATATTTCAGTGGTCAAACTTGTCTTATAATTACTAACCACATGTTGCAAGGAAAGCCTCGTTCGTTTCAGTCGAATCTTTAACTTCCTGCACAGATTCTTAATCAGAACAAACATGTTTGTAAAAAAAGAAAAGAAAAAGAATTTCAACCTAAATGTCCCAGTATGAATAATTCTGCTCTTCACCGTATCTAACACGGCACATACATCCACAGGCCACACTGAGCTCACCTCTGTGAACGTCCTGCTGTTTTCATGCTCAGCCATCGGCTCTCTGTTTTGATGCGACTCTTTGATTCTGTGGCTCGTACCACGTTTAACTTTTGTTCCAGCTAATTTCATGCAGATGAAGCATAAATATCCTGCTTTAGAAGCTCGGAACACTTTGAAAGCTAATAACCAGGTAAAAAAAAAAAAAAAGAAAGAAAATCAATCACATGACATCCCAACGTGAAGCTAGCTTAGCGCTCTGCTATCAGTGTCGAGGAAAAACCAGAAAAGTTCAGCCAGGTGACGTAAAGATTGCCACAAGCTACAAGCTGCATTTACCGATGATTCATGATTTCTGTATTAAGGTCACTTTGTGCGTCTTCTGCACATTAAACACGCCTGTTCTCTGTGATCAACTCTATTTGTTTTCAGAGCAAGAGCTTTTCTTCCCCTGCAGAGAGAAACTAATGTGTGCCTGACACTTCGAGCTAATGCCGTTTTCACTGTTCTTCAGGACTAATGAAACATCCCAGAATCAGTTTTAAACCACATGTAAAATTCTAATTTTTCTTAGATTTAATACATAATCTTAATAGTCATTTGTCTCTTATCTGAGGTAAAGAGGAAGACTACTTTTGGCTGTTTGGAATGACAAAAAAAATCATGAAAGATTTGCATTTTATGAGTAAATGCCTTCCACAAATCAATTATTGTTGTTCACAGGACAAAAAGAAATCACCTGCAAAAAGTTATCTACAAACTGATATTTTTCTAATAATTTTTTGTCTTTAAATCTTAGAGCAAGATTTTCTAATGTTTGATTACCCACATTTATGTACAGCAGGCCGGTCTGTCTGTCTGTCTGTCTGTAGAAAACAGAAATCATTTCGCCACGCTTTGTTTGGCCGGGGAACATCTTGGCCTAGATGAAAAGGCCTGGTGAGCAATCTGCATGATGAGGCACACACTGTTCTCTGGTGCCACAGCCGAACAACATGAATCCCTGGAGAGTCCCACTTTTCAATGCAGACACACTTATACAGTGTGTGTGTGTGTGAGTGACTCTGGGCCGGAACCTGTTCAGAGACGGGTGAGACAGTAAAGAGACAAGGTTCTGCCGGAGCTCAGGCGTCAAGTCCAGAGTAACATCATGCATCAGTAACCTGGACGTTCACCAGAACTGTAATTTGTGTGTCTTTATTATGGATTTTACTTTTGATGCATTTAAGAGAAGATTTAAAAAAAAAGTTTTTATACTTTAGCAATTTTTCGCATTTTGTCAACTTGCAGCAAAAAGTTTGATAATTTGTACTTTATTTGAAAGAATAGGACATAATTGTGAGTTGAAAAGAAGACGAGGTTTTTACAAACTATTTTCAAATGAAATCTGAAAAGTGTGGCTTGAACTATTTTTCCCATTTACTCTTGCAACTCTAAATTAGACTTGAATTGATCAATTCCCTTTCGAAGTCATCTGACTAGGTTTACCAGAATCTAAAGCAATCTCATTTATAATTTACAAAGCAATGCTAAAAGGATTACTTAAAAACAGAGAATATGGTTTAGCTGGCCTTAACGGACTACCAGAGGGAAAGTGTTTGCATTCCATGGAGTGATGTTCTCTGGTTGGGTGAGATCCAAAATGTTTCAGCCTACTTGAAAAAAAGACTCACATTGCACATGACTCTTAAAGGGGTAGTATTATGTAAAATGTACTTTTTTGAGCTTTACATCATAATGTTATCCCGTAATCAAAAATTATACTTGGTGTGTTGCTTGGACTCTTTAAGAAATCCTTTTGTCTCCCATGGCAACCATTCAGCTGTGCAAACGTCTGGATGGACGAAGTGCCGCCTTCGAGCTCATGCCTCACAGATTAGCCCTCCCACGCCACTCCCCCACTCAGCTCCTTCAGACTAGCCAGCAGCAACTGGCAGACACCTGGTGGTACTGCGCATCAGCTGAGCTCATTATAGGAGCCACTTCTCAGTGCAACGCTGGTAAAAATGTTGTTAAAGGTTTAATAGAGGAGCCATGTTGTGATGACTTCCTGAAGGCAGAGTTTCAGAAAGAGCAGGAGTTTTTAGAGAGACAGAGGCTTAACTTCAAGACAATAAATTACAAAGTCAATTTTGATATATGTAACATTTTTATAACAACTAATGGCAACAGCTTCTTGATTATGCTACAAAATGCCACTATGTCCCTGGAAAATCCACAATACTGCCCCTTTAACATATCATCCCCCTAATGGAACATGGTGGTGGCAGCATCATGCTGTACGGATTCATTCAGCAAGGACTGAGAAGCTGGTCAGAGTTGAATTAATGGAGGAATCCTGCAAGAAAATGTGCAAAAGAAATGAGACAGAGGATAATGATATAATGTCATATAAAAATATCACACACTTCAGGTTTCTGTTGGTTAAAAAATATTCAACCAATGTATCACCGTCCTTTAACTTCCCAGTATGCACTTACTGGCGCTGGTCAGTAAAATTAAACATCAATAAAATACATTAAACTTGTGGGTGAATGATTTCCTTCTGCACTGTATTTGATAAATGAAAGAGGCATCATTATTACTGTCATGTTTGTGAAGCAGCACATTTGTATTAAACCGTCCCCTGAAGCCGATTGGCCTGCAACAGTGACACGAGTTGAGATGCTTGATGTCTGGTTTAAAGCTTCACTCCCACAATTCCCAATAAATGTTTGAATTCTGACAGAACCAAAACTGACAGTGGAAGCATCGAGAAAAAACCATTGGAAGCATTGTGTGAGATGCATCAGCTTTCATAAACACATTAGGTAATAATAACAAGTAGAGTTTTATACTTAAAAAGATAGAATAAGACAGTAAACATCTCAATCGCACTGAGATCATTTTACAAATACCGAGTGGATTTGGGAATCACTCAAACCAGCGAGGCGTTTAACCTCATAAACTTTATCACAGAAACCTCGACATCACGAGGCCTGATGTTTAAAAACCCGTCAGAAACAGGTAATAAAATCACTTCCTAGATGTTCAACAGCATGTCTCTCCATAAATTGTCTCCATAATCCCGTTACGTGACGGAGGTCAGTAATTAATTAATGAATGGTACCCTGGGGGAGTTACATGGACCTCATCCTATTAAGAGCACATGATCCAGAATGTAATTTGTCTCTTAAAGATAATTTTACTGGCAGAGCTAAAATAAGACTTTAATTTGGACTCTGGCCTACATTATTCCCAACGAGAAGAGCAGCAGAATAGTTCAGCTGAGGAAAGGCAACTTGTCTTCTGTGCTCAGTGTTCACTTTGCGGGAGACAAATCAGCCGCGATAGATACGTTGTTCTACATAAAAACAAAAGCATCGCGATTAAACCTGGCGATTCGTTCATTTTCCAATAGACTTGCACTTTCAGATTCAGGTTTGGCAGCAGGAGATGCAGTCGTAGTCGGTTTTTATTGCATGTAAAATCAGAGGAATGTGCAACAGCATCTCCTGAAATCCTTAACTATCCTGTAAGTCATGAATCTCTATACCTGAACTCTGTCCTTCTCTCCTTCTCACCCCACACCTTGTCCCATCCTCCGCCCTTCCCACCGCCATCTTCACCTCCCCTCACCTGTCCTTCCACATCTTCTCCTCTGTCCTCCGTTCTCCTGTCCCTCCTTCTTTTGTCTTCGCCCTCACCCCTCCCCTGTCCCCCCCCGCTCCCCCGTTGCCGTGTCAATGGCGGTGGCTGACAGTGACTTTGCATCCAAAATGAAAAACAGGCAGATGGGCACATCCGGTGGGGTGAACATGACCAAGAGCACAAGCATCAGCGGTGACATGTGCAACCTGGAGAAGACGGACGGCAGTCAGTCGGACACGGCGGTCGGCACGGTAGGCACCGACGACAAGAAGAGGCGCTCCAGCATTGGTGCCAAAATGCAGGCCATGGTTGGCATGTCGCGCAAGAGCCGGAGCACCTCTCAGCTCAGCCAAACAGGTAGGGAGCTCACTTCCACTAACCTTTCTATCCGGTCATACTGCATTCTGGTTGCTTATTTGTGTGTCTTGTCTGTGATCAATCCTATTTACTCCTTTTTAAGTTCTTTTGTTTCCTCCACTTTTTCATTCCCAGGGCTTTGGTGTAATTAAGGAGCGTAACGTCTAACCACTCCGTGTTTTACTTTCAAGGTTTCTCTCTTCCTTTCTAGGTGAATGTTGTCCTGGATGCGGTTTTCTCATTTTACAACGATAATCCTCTGATTTATTGAGCCTCTGCAGATCTGCTTTCCCTCTCCTTCCTTCTGTGTTATTTTACTCCTTCCTAATAAATCTGCTTATTGCTTTTCTTTCTTTTTTCACTCTTTTTTGGGGGTGGGAGATATTTTCAATGTTCACTAGTGAAAACTATTTTGTAGTGCAACATGTGACCATATGCAGATTGTTGTTTCTTAGTTTCCATGTACATTTGTGGATATGGGTGCTTAGATTTTTCTACAGAAATGCACGTTCTCTTAATCGGCATAGATGCAATGCCTGACTTTGCATATCTTTATTTAAAAACCTTCAGCAATAATTTACAATAGATCATTTTGCAGGGAGAGTTTTACCGGATGCTCCACTGAGGTTGATGTAAAGTCTCGCAGGGATCTATCTTAGTATTTATGCAGCTCCTCTCCCTGTGTGACTGCTGTGAAGAACTAATGCCTCTCCACCGTGGCAAGATTTTTGACAATTACTTCTACACAGTGGCGCTTTTTATTCAGATTTACCAGGAAAGCATGATAGACGGATGGCGAGATGAGTCGCCTGCGTGCAGAGAGGAAGGATGAGCGAGACAGCGAGGCTCTGTGCTCACGTGGCACGGCGCTGTTCTCCGTCTCATGAAGTAAACGGCACATGGCCTTTTCTCTCTGGGCAAAAAACTTGGTGACCTCATCAGTTTTATTGTAGCGGTTTTCAAGTTCTCAAACGTGTTGTTTCTGATGAGCAGCTAAGAGACAACTTTTGTTGTCACCTGCTAACGGTTTAGCAGCGGTCACCAGTAGGCCTCCGACGTTTGTGCGGCCTCTTCTTTTTACAAGGAGCTTTCAGATTCAACAAAAACGCACGTGGACACATTCCTCTCTCCCTGCTAAATGAATCTCCCAGAGCTATCAATATTTCACTGGGTTCCTTCTGGGCGCACATGATGGAGAGAGCGCATCTCGTTCCCTCAGAGTGACTGAGATCAGTTTTAACAGGAACATGTCCAGGTTGCCCTTCGCCCTACTTGTTCTGAGTGGCTTGGCTTCCACTTCATTGGTGCATTCAAAACACGGTGGATTTTTTTTATTTTTTTTACCCAGCAGTGTTTGCCAGTGAGGTTTGAGCAGTTCAGTGAGGCAGCATGAATCCAACTTCCTCATACACAACTTAGTTTAATGGACGTGGTTCTCTGTGGAACATCAAGTACGCACTTTGCAGCTCTGGACTGTTTGTTTGATTTGCTCTGTTTTTTTTTTTGTTTTTTTTTGTTTTGTTTTTTTAATTTCAGCTTTTTGTGGGGGAAAAAACTTGACTTTAATGCTGATTGCAAATTTCTCGTTTGAAGCAGATAAAGCACATATTTATGCATTTTAGGGTCACCTCCACCAGATACCAAGATTTATTTCAGTCGTTTTTGAATGATCTGTACCAGAGATTTTAGTATTCCATTGAAAGGATCCCATAATGCTGCAAACTACAGAGAACGGCTGAATGTGTTGGAGTCGCTGATTGGACTAAACTCCCTGTATGTAGGTGCCGTCGCGCTTTTGGCCAAATTTTATATGAAAATATATTTCTTTGTCTCTGAAGTATTTAAACATTGTCACCTTCCAAAACTAACTGTCAAAGTTATTTTTTTTTTATTTTTTTATTTTTTTTTTACCAAAAGTGTCTTTGATTATTTTTTGGTCACCTAAATATTTTTTTTTTTTGGGGGGGGGGGACTTTTGCCAATTTTTTTTTTAGGAAGGTGACGACATGGAAAATAAAAACAGAACATGCAAGTAGTTTATCCAGCACTTGTGCACTTTGCAGTTTAGGTAATTTAAAAAAAAAAGAGAGAGAGAGAAAAATACCCAGCAGATGTAAGAATCTGTCACTCTGGCATATCATGTAGTTGGAGTATGTATGTTACATAGACGACTCGATGCTACCTGGTAGCTGGATGAAAAGGTTAGCTGATGTTGTTCGGTGGTTCACAGTGTCGTCACTGACTCACCTCACGGCCTGCTGGACAGATTCCAGCTGTGCTGCTTGCAGAGAGGATGATGTTTGGTTATTTCAAGCACTGCAGACTTCTTTAGAGCTAATGACGTGATAATCCTGTATGTATGTAGTGTTGGCGATAATAACTGGGTTTGTGTCTGTGCCGTGAAAACTGCAGGTATCGAATCTTACATGCTGGATACCGTTTTTGAAATGAAAGCTCTTCGTCGATACACCATCGCACATGGCGATGCACTGTCGCCATGTGCTTTCTCAGGATGAGGGATTGCTGCAAATTCATTGACTCAATGCAACAAGCCAGGCAGCTTTTACCGTTTGACATTATAAACTTAACTGAAGTGAACTGTATAATTTTAATATCAAGTGTAGCATTTATATCAAATATGCTTGAGGAATGGATTTCTGGATTTGATTTTGTTCCGTTTGTCCTGTCAAGACATATTATATTTATATTTATTTATACCTACATTGAGTTGACATTTGAATGGACTTTACTGTAAGGAACCATGTTGATGGAAAAATCTTTACAATGAAGCTGTGAATAGAATTACTATTATTATGTCAGGCTTTTTTGTTGTACAAACTACAGGATGACTAACTGGATGCTTTTCTGGCTTTGGTTTTTCTGTCGGGTTTTTGCAACAAGTGCTGGATTTTAAAATAGAGTTTTAACACTATATTTAGACTGATTTTACAACAGCTTTTTTCATATCACTTCATGAGAAACATATTTAGTAGAATGATTGAAACAGCTGTCTGCAAAGAGATAATGTTTTTCTATACACGAACACAGGAAATGTTATCGCTAATTAGGAATTGCTTAGGTAAGGCTAATTTTATTTATATAGCACATTTTCAACAACAAGGCAATGCAAAGTGCATCTTAGAAAGACTAAATCTCATTGTTAGGAAAAGTTACGGACTTTGCTGTTCCTCGTTGTCCCAGTTCTCTTTTGCTAACACCACTGATAGTTTTGGACCTTTAAACTTGTATGTGAGGCTGTTTTTAGATGAGCAAAAAATAGCTGAACTCTGAGCGTCTGGCTGCGGTGATTTATGTTTAGTGTTGAGTTTGGTGCCATCTCAGCAGCTTCTCTGCTTGCTGAGGCTGCTGGTTGTTCTGCTTCAGAGCTGCAGCAGACGTGCAGATCTCCAGGTCCTGCATGATCACAACTCGGCAACATGACTTCACGCATCACCTTTACGGTTCTGGATACAAGATTGTTTATCCTGCTACTTCTTTTTTTCCCCTCCTATGCTTTTCTTTTCCTGTCCATTCCTTTATTCGCTTGTAGTCTAACCTCGCTTTTGTGTATTTCACCTTTTCATTCCTTATCTGCTCCTGTCCTCTTTTCTTGACTATTAAATTAATTCACAGGAGAGTCGTTAATCAGGCTGAGCTCTCCAGTAAGCCACTTGTGTAATGACCTAAATATGGTGGTGTAACGGAACATCTAGCCGGGTTGAAAGTATTCATACAGCCCGGTCAGTTTGGTACGCACGTATTTGTTTGGTACAAACAAATACAGCGTTGTTGTATACCTGAACACAGGCAGAATATTTATGTAGGGAACCAAGTGGGCAATGCAACATGAGAGGACTCCCAGCTGTCATTAAACTCTGGAAAACCTTTAGGTTTTCCATGCAGCATCAGTGGAGAAAGGAAGGTGAGCCGAACCACTTCTTCATGTCATCTTACAAATTTTTGCAACAGCAGTAAGGCAACTGATTGCTCACCTGAATCAATGTCAAGCTGAACGTAAACATCAAAGGTTCTGTAGAAAAATCAGTTGAAGTCCAAATCCAGCTGCCTGCAGCATTCAACCAGTTATTGCTTATTATAAAAAATAAAATAAAATAAAACAGCCTCTAGTCAGCTCTTTTTGTTTGAATCTCTTGACTGAAGCGAACTGAAAATGTACTGAAACATGTCTCGAAATTCAAAATAGATATCGAACTGCGATTTTTGCATGTCTTTACTCCCTACCTAAACACGCGTATGCTGTAAGGCCTGGAAGTGACGCTGCTTCCCTTGGGGTAGTTTCCCATTTTCCTTCTAGATTGAAACCAAACAGGTGTTGGAAAAACTGAAGTGTTGCTGTTGAATCATTAAAGTTTAATCTTTAAAGTGTAATAAACCACTGCAGTGTCAGCTGGTATGTTTACTGTTGTTTTCCACGCTTGGTTAAACGTATTAATCTTTGAAAGTCACTTCTCGTCAGTGTTTGGCACACTTCAGCTAATATGCTAATGTGCTTAGCGCTTTAGCTTCTTTTGCTAACTTTGAAAACATTTAGCACACTTAGTTAGCCCTAAACTAATTTTCTGGATAAATTTAATCAACATGTTTGACACCCACCATGCATTAAATATCATGTTTTTATGGCACTTTATGCTTTAGCGTAGCCTTAGTTAGCGATGCCCACTGCTGCGTATTGTATTTTACAGTTGTATGATGAACTTAGATGACCTAGACCACACATTCCTCCTCATTCACTTCTTCTTAATATAAGCATCATATTAGCATTTCTGCTCAATCATGGTGATTGAAGCCGCTTTCATTGCTGTGTGTTACACAAATTATAGTAACTCCATCCTTCTAATTTAGCCTTTTTAAAAGTTAGATTCTGTGTTTTTAATACACAAAGGACCGCTGTTCGGTCCTTTCTTCTCCTTTGTCACTAATAGTGAAAAAAGTTTTTGACTTTTTCTTAAGAGTTATTGTGATATACTGTCTTTTCTGGG